CATATCTTTGGAACATCTACATACAGAGAGAGTCTGCAACAATTCCAGTTCTGATTCCTTCAGCCCTTGGAGCCTTATTACCTCAGGCATGATGAGTTTTGTTCATTTATCAAAGTGTGCTATACAGATACGATCATTCCAATGTGTCATGACATAAATATGTTTGGGAAGCACAGGTCCAGTGAGAAACTGAATAAATGACTTTAGAACTCATGAGATGATGTCTCGACTAGAGATTTTTGGGTGCTTCCAGCACAGAGGTGCTAGCAAACCCACACAGAAGGATTTCAACTCCAGGCCATGATGGAGTAACTGGTACTAGACTTGCTTTTCTACTTTAACAATTAGAACCCTGGACATAATATTGGAAAGAGTTGTTTGTAGTCATTTAGCTATGAAGCATAGGAATATGACTCTCAAAAAAAGGGGAAACAAAGTCCTACCATTACCACAGGTTGCTACCTGAAAGCACTTTCTGAAGGATAGCACAGCAAATGAGAACTCAAGCTGACATAGAAGTCTTATTAAGTAGAAGAGACAATGTTTAGAGTTCAGAGAGACTTGGGTAGAAAGAATTTGCATGGCAGTGTACCAGAAAAGAGGGAGCTATATAGAGGAAGAATATTAAAAAAAAAGAAAGAAAGAAAAAGAAAAACACCTTATTCTATGGGCCCTATGGATACTATCATTGAATACCAAGCCATGAATGGCCAAGATACAAATCTTCATAGATTTTATCAGGGAATTTAAACTGAACAATTCCAAGAAGCAACACAGAGTTGGGAGATGTTTAAGTTACAATCAATAATAATGAAGAGACAAAAGAAGTCAGGCCTTAGTAGTACACCTAACCTAGCCAGTAAAAGATACTTTACATTTGTACTAACAAGCTTAAAAAGAAGCCCCTAATGAACCAAGCTGATCTACAAATAGCTACCTATAAAAGAAAATTCAGTAGTCTTTAAAAGAAGTCAACAAAATCAGGACATGCAAAACCCATAATTTTATAATTTAATAAAAATTACTAGATATAGTCATAAGAGGAAAGTACATAGCAATAGAGGTCTACCTGAAGAAGCAAATTAAATGTCAAATAAACAGCCTAAATTTACACCTAAAGGAGCTAGAAAAAGAACAAATGAAACCTCAACCCAGCAGAAGAAGGGAAATAATAAAGAGAAGAAATAAATTATAGAGAAACAACAACAACAACAACAACAACAAACAATAGAACAGATCAATGAAATAGATCTTTTAAAAAATTAATGAAATTGATAAACCCCAACCAGACTTATTAAAAACAAAAGACAAAAGACCCAAATAAATAAAATCACAAAAGAGAAAGGAGAAATAACAACCAACACCAAAGAAAAACAAAAATTATATGAGAATACTGTGAAAAACTATATGCTAACAAATTGGACAACCTGGAAGAAATGGATAAATTTCTAGAAACATACAAACTACCAAAACTGAAACAGGAAGAAAGAGAAAACTTGAACAGACCAATAAACACCAAAAAAATAGAATCAGTAATCAAATGTCTCCCAACAAACAAAAGTCCAGGGCCAAATGGCTTCACAGGTGAATTCTCCAAACATGTAAAGAAGAATTAATAACTATTCTTCTCAAACTCTTCCAAAAAACAGAAGTGGAAGGGAAACTTCCAAATTCATTCTTGAGGCCAGCATTACCTTGATACCAAAACAAGATAAAGACTCCACTAAAAAAAGAGAACTACAGGCCAATATCGTGATGAACATGGATGCAAAAATTCTCAATAAAATACCATCAAGCCGAATTCAACAGTATATTAAAAGAATCACTCACCATGACCAAGTGCGATTTATTTATACCACATTAATAAAATAAAGAATAAGAAACATATGATCTTTTGAAAAGATGCAGAAAACACATTTGACAAAGTACAATATTCATTCATGATAAAAACTCTCAAATAAGTAGGATTAGAGGAAACACTACTCAACATAAGAAAGGCCAGCCATGTAGGAAAAACCCACAGTTAATATCATCCTGAATGGGGCAAAACTGAGAGCTTTTCCTCTACAGTCAGGAACAAGAAAAGGATGTCCACTCTCACCACTGTTATTTAACATAGTACTGGAAGTCTCAGCCATACCAGTCAGACAACAAAAAGAAATAAAAGACCCAGATTGGCAAGGAAGAAGTCAAACTTTCACTATTCGCAGATCACATGACATTCTATGTAGAAAACCTGAAAGACTGTACCAAAAACTTGCTAGAACTGATACACGAATTCAGTAAAATCACAGGATATAAAATCAACATTCAGAAATCTGTTCCATTTCTATACACCAACAGTGAAGCAGAAGCAAGAGAAATCAAGGAATCAATCTTATTTACAACTGCATCCAAAACCACAAGATACCTAGGAATAAACCCAACCAAAGAGGTAAAAGGTCTGTACTCTGAAAACTATAAAATACTGATGACAAAAATTAAAGGTTACACAGAGAAACATTTTGTGCTCATGGATTGGAATAATAAATATTTTGAAAATGTCTATACTCCCCAAAGCAATCTACACATTTAATGCAATCCCTGTCAAAATACCACTAGCACTTCTCACAAAGCTAGAACAAACAATCCTAAAACTTCTATGGAACCACAAAGACCTGGAATAGCCATAGCAACCTTGAAAAAGAAAACCAAAGCTAGAGGCATCAGAATTCTGGACTTCAAGTTATATTGCAAAGCTGTTGTGATCAAGACAGTATGGTACTGGCACAAAAAAAATAGACACATCAATCAACAGAACAGAATAGAAACCCCAGAAATAAATCCACAACTATATGGTAAATTAATCTTTGACAAAGCAGGAAAGACTATCCAATGGAAAAAGGACAATCTCTTCACAAATGGTATTACAAAAACTGGCAATCTACATTCAAAATAATAAGACTAGACCATTTTCTTACACCATACATAAAAATAAGTTCGAAATGGATGAAAGGCCTAAAAAAAAAAAACATAAAAATCCTAGAGAACACACCTAGAGAACCACTTTGACATCAGCTGTAGCAACTTCTTACTAGAATGTCTCTTGAAGCAAGGGAAACAAACGCAAAAATAAACTACAGGGACTTCATGAAAATGAAAAGCTTCTGCACCGTGAAGGAAATAATCAACCAAATTAAAAGGTAACCTAGGGAATCAGAGAAAATATTTGCAAATGACATATTGCATAAAGGGTTAAAGAACTTATAAAACTCAACACCCAAAAAACAAATAATCCAGTTAAAAATGGGCAGAAGATAGGAACATTTTTCTTATTTCTTTAATTTTAAAACGTTTATTTTTGAGAGAGAAAGAATGCAAGAGGGGAAGGGGCAGAGAAAGAGGGAGACGCAAAATCTGAAGCAGTCTCCAGGCTCTCAGCTGTTAGCAACAGAGCCTAACGTGGGGCTCGAACCCATGAACCAGGAGATCATGACTTGAGCAGAAGTCAGTCGTTCAACTGACTGAGCCACCCAGGCACCCAGCACAGACATTTTTCTAAAGAAGACATCCAGATAGCTAACAGAAACTTGGAAATATGTTCAACGTCACTCATCATCAGGGAAATACAAATCAAAACTACAATGAGATATCATATCACATTAGTCAGAATGGCTAAAATTAACAACACAAGAAACAACAAGTGTTGGCAAGCATGTGGAGAAAGGGAAACTCTCTTGCTCTGTTGGTGGTGATGCAAACTGGTGCAGCCACCATGGAAAACAGTATGGAGGTTCCTCAAAGAGGTACAGGTAGAAATATACTATGATCCAGCAATTGCACTATTAGGTGCTTATCCAAAAAATATGAAAATACTAACACAAAGGGATACATGCACCCTGATGCTTATACCACCATTATGAACAATGGCCAAATTATGGAAACAGCCCAAATGTCCACTGACTGATGAATGGATAAAGAAAAGGTGACACGCACACACACGCGTGCGTGCACATACACACACACACACACACACACACACACACACAGGAATATTACTCAGCCTTAAAAAGGAATGAAAACTTGCCATTTGCAACTATGTGGATGGAGCTAGGGAGTATTATGCTAAGCAAAGTAAGTCAGTCAGAGAAAGACAAATACCATATGTTGTCACTCATATGTGCAATTTAAGAAACCAAACAAAAGAGCATAGCGGGAAAACCAGAGAGGCAAACTAAGAAACAGATTCTTAACTATAGAAAACAAAGTAATGGTTTTTAGAATGGAGGTGCGTGGGGGGATGGGTGAAATAGGTGATGGGATTAATGAGTATACTTGTGTATGGAAGTGTTGAATCACTATATTATGCACGTGAAACTAATATCACACTGTATGTTAACTGGAATTTTGAAAGTTAAAAAAATTACTAGACATACAAAATTGAAAAAAATGTGACAGATAACCAGGTTAATATTTATTCATTAGGACAACATGTAGAAGAAGTAAAGGGGGACAGAGATGGAATGCTTGAAAATACCCAGACAAGATTGAGAAGATGGAAAGAATAAAAAGGAGCTGACAAGAGTCACTTGAAAGGTTTCATAGAAGATTTTAGAAAAATCAAAAGATGTTGAGTCACAGAAGTCACATAGGGAGAAAGCTACAAAAAGGAGGGAGTGGTCAACAAGGAGATCAAGCAAGATAGAAACTGAAAATTGTCCCCTAGATTTCACAGATGATACCTTCTAAGCCTGGTGAAAATATTTTCAGTGGAGAGGCTGGGGTAGAAGCCAGATTGCAAAGGCTTTGATGAGTGAGTATGATGTGGAGAAGAGATGCTAGTTGTTTCTTCAAGGCAAGATTGTCTCTGACACAGGATTGGCAAATATGTGTACATTTCTCCTTTGAAAATATTTTTAAAACATTCTACAACCATTGCTAAAGCAATGTCTCATTTCTTTTATAGTCACATTTCTTTCAATACACAATTTCCAATGAGAATAATGAAATTAATTTGTTACCAAAAAAGGCATTCAGCAGCTTCTGAACCTGGATATTGCTGCCCACAGTACGGTACAATCCTTCTGTCTTGATCCCTAGGGAAAATAAAATCAGGTCAGTTTTGTTTATACAGCTAGAGCTTTCATTTCCCTCTAGGTAGAAAAAGTAGGTACTTTCACCCTGGCATCAGTTCAAACAAGAAAGGGTCTCCCTACTCTCTCCTAGCTTTCTAGCCCTCTCCTGCAATAGGGGGCCAGTTTTGAAGCAGCTCTCCAAATTATTCTCTCCATACTTTCATTTGGATTATACGGAGGTTTCATTAGTGTGAACAGAAGAGAATATACACTCTAGTAAATAGAAAAATATGCTTAGTTTGATAGCAGCAGATGGCTGAGAATAGTGCTGCCATCTTGGAAAGGAGCTAGAGTTTAACTGAAAAAGGAGGAAATATCAATCATCAAGCTGCCCATGAGCAGCAATATAAAGGAAGAAAGGCCTGAACTATGGCAAATGTGAAACAAAAGGCTATTTTGTGTATGGGGAAAGATTAAAGCAACATTTCAAGGAAAAAAAAGAGGCTTGGCTCATATACTACATGACCACATTCTAAATATTCTCAGAGAGAATCTAGAGAGTATCATGAACATGGAAAAACACTGATTCCCCATTTGTCTGAGTTAAGCTTTGCACCCCATCAATTTTTTAAAATTTATTTATTGAAATTCAAGTTAGTTAACATAGAGTATAGTGTTGGTTTCAGGAATAGAACCTAGCGATTCACCACTTAACATATAACACTCAGTGCTCATCCCAACAAATGCCCTCCTTAATGCCCATCACCCATTTAGCCAGAAATTTTTAAATCAATATGTATTATGGCAGAAATTGAACTCTTATTTATTTGTGATGGAACCATCATAACACTACTTGAGGAGTGCCCATTAGTAGTTCAGAATACTTTAAAAGCCATTTGAAGCTCTTTGCCTTGTTTTCGAAATACAAGAAGCTGTACATATTTAATAGATATAACTTGGTGAGTTTGGAGATAAATGAAACCATCACCATAATCTATGCATAAACATATCTATCACCTCTAAAAGTTTTCTGCTGTCCTCTTTTTTCTTTAGTATTTTTTCCAATAAGAACTCAATACAAAATCTACCATCTTAGCACATTTAAGTCTGCAATACAGTATTATTTTTTTAATGTTTATTTATTTTTGAGACAGAGAAAGACAGAGCATGAATGGGGGAGGGTCAGAGAGAGAGGGAGACACAGAATCTGAAGCAGGCTCCAGGCTCTGAGCTGTCAGTACAGAGCCCCACGCAGGGCTTGAACTCACAGACCGTGAAATCATGACCTGAGCCAAAGTCGGACGCTCAACCGACTGAGCCACCCAGGCGCCCCTGCAATACAGTATTATTAACTATAGCTTTATGCTGTACAGCAGATCTCTTGTATAACTTAGAACTGTGTACCATTTGATTAATTAAGCTATTTCTCTTTAAAAGGAGGAAACCACAAATTATTCCAATATGCTTGGATACCACTGGTTTGGAACTTGCTGGAATTTTACAAATTTGTGTCTAGTGTTCAAGGTATATAGTCTTCATTCCTAAAATGAGTCCTGAACAATAAATGACATCATTGCTACCTTCAAGAAATTGACCCAGGATAAATTCAGAGTGACCAGATTCAAACACTGCCAATACTCCGGTTCAAATCTTACCTTTTGTCTCAATGACATTGATGCACTTTCTAACAAACTTGAACCCTATGTCATTCAGCTCCACTGTTTCAAATAAAGGAAAACAAAGTTAGATCCACTATAATAAGCTTTACCTACCAAGTATTTATTGATCATGTTAGGAGACTGCAGTGAGAGAATAAGGGGTATGGTTTTTCATCTCCAATACTCTTAAATGGAAAGGTCTTTGTATTCAGGGGGAACTTAGAGTTTTTACTCTTATTACACAAAATGCTTTAATTATCCCTTTGCATTATGTTTGTTTTAGGTAGTAGCAACATCAAACGTGAAATGGTAGGCTAGAAATGCACATAATTTCTATCATGTGTTTAGAACAAGAAAGAGATAATGTTCTTCTCTATATTAATATTACTGCCCACAACATAAGCCAAGATAAAGTGACTTCCTTATTTCAATAAGTAGACATATTTTAAAAAAATAGGTCTGAATTCTACTCCACACAGTTGCATCCATAAACACACTTGAATCAATATTACATATCACAGATGATAGGAAAACTGGCAGTTTGTAATGTCAATAGATTGTAAATTTGACTCACTTTCTTCCTGTTTTGTTATGGGGCTGTGGTATATCTACAAAAGAAGAGAAAGAAAGAGCCATGTCTATTGTGAATCACTATAGGTAAGTACAGCAAATAATACTACTCTCTTTCCCCAGAAAGTCCATCAAAACCATTAGTGACTCTAAGGCTTTAATGGAAAAGTGGGCTAAACAGAATCATCTTTGACTAGGTCCCTAGAAAACAACTGATTTAACAAATCTGAAGACTAAACTAGATTCCATGTAGCTCAATGTGGCTGAAGTTGTTGCCTACCTATTTTAGAGATTTACTTATGTAAAACTTGGAAAATTTTTTCTGATAGAGCAAGAGAAACAGTCTTCTTATGGGACCTGGGTAGTGGGCATTGATGGTAAAATTTAAATGTGCCCAATACCAACCTCCTACCCCAAAGGCTAATTAATGGGTATTTCTCTGTAGAAAAGCAAGTGTCTGTCTGAAAGAGATCCACACACTGACCAAGATTCTTTGAGTTATCGTGAAATACACATCATGATAGCTATGTGAGAGGCCAAACAGGAGATCCTTGACTCTTGAAGTCTAGCCTGGCTCTACCTCTAATTCATTATAAAATCTTGGGCATGTCCTTTTCATTCTCTATTCTTCAAATTTCATATCTCTAAAATGATTTGAGTTGGAGTAGATGTTCCTTAAAGTCCTAATCTTCTGTGATACTTTAAGCAAAGGCATGCATATCATGTATAAAATTAGTGAAATGGGGTGTTTAGCAAGGCAGCAACAATAACAATGTGAAACTTCAGGAAATAAACCTTCTGTACGGTATCTGTTAGAGTCCACTTTAACAATCTCTTCTTTTAAGAGAAAACTTTCTGCATATGTGTGTATACCCATGGATATTTCAATGAGAGAGATTTCTGTTCTGGGAAGCCCTTGCTGCCACTTTTATAAACAAGTTATTTGTGAAAAGTCTAGCATAATTGAGTTGTTAAGGATCCACATTCAGTGGACCCATGTTCTAATATCATTCTCCACAAAAAGCCATCTGCATCCTTCGATTTTTAAAACTTAAAGGGAGAACAAGTTCCAATGACGGAATCAAGAATAAAATGTTTCACTGAGCCTTCTACCATCTTCCTCGAGAAACATCACAGGCATGCAATAGTTAAGCTCCAATCTTCTGGGAAGGAGGGAGGAGCCACAGGTCATGGGCTACTTCCTGTATGACAATCCTCATAACACCCCTTCTCTCTTTGCTACCTTTTTGGTTGCTACAAGTACATTCTGAAATCTGTGCACTTCTCTTTAGTTTCCAGGGCACCGAGGAGACACAGAAAGAAAACCTTGGAGTATTTTCCCTCTTAGCACATTTTTGCCTTGAACAAAACAAAGATATTAGACTGTACACAAATACTATGGAATCTCAGTAGCTTCACACTCCTTCTTTATCCCACTTCCATTCATTCAATTTTTCAAAGCAACTCTGTGAGGTAGATAGAATGGAGATGATTCAACCCTTTTTACTGAAGAGAAGAAAACTGAGTCTCAGAGAGATAGAATACCTTGCCCAAAGTCACACCACCACTGATGGCACAACTGGGATCCAAATTCAGTCTTTTGTAATTCTAACAGTAGGAACCTAATATTATTTCATACACCACTAGAAGAAATTTACTTGGAAGATACTGAAGAAAACAAAAACTCTCTTCAGGAATTTCTGACTCTTCAGATTGGTCTTTCTATGACAATCACTAAACCCTTTAAGGTATTGCTTGTCCTCCTGTGTAACAATGTTCTAAATGGAGTGGTACATCTTGGGATATAGGATGGTAGCACCATCTTCTCCAACAGCTGTACCCTTAAAGAGAGTAAGCTGACATGGGAATGTAAAATAGGGGCAGCAAAACTGTTTTGAATAAAATCTTAATAAATCCTTATTCACAGTTATAAAAATTATTTTCTACCTTTCTATATGAACACATTAATTTTATAAACTGACAAAAGGGCTTAATTTTCTTTAAGAAGATCTTGTAGGCACAGCTGCATAATCTAACACTGAAGCAAGCAGCTAAGAAACCTGGATTCTATCTAGGCCCAATTTTTATGTCTTTTCAGATAGTAATCCTAGAGAAGTCCCTCATCCTCTATGGAACTCAAATTGCCTTACTTTTTAAACAAAAAATGTTGAGTAAACAATTCCTTCTAACTCTAAAATTTTGAGTCTGAAGATCTGACTCTTTAAATGTCCTAGACCCACTAGTACCACTAAGGGTACTCATACATTGGACTATATTGCTAAGTTTCTACGGTGTCCTCACGTAACTTACAGGTTCTTTTCCATCCATGGCTTCCATCCATAGCCTTCTGTTAGCTTCCGAAAGAGCTTGCAAAGTTATGGTTCCTGGCCTATAGAAAAAAATGACAAGTTTAAAGCAGAAAAGTCACCTAAAGAATGGAACCTGGTTCTACCAGGAACCTTATAAAGCAGCCTAGAGAGTCTGATCTAGGGTCCCTATCAGCTCTGGAAGGTGTCACACCAAGCAGACACATACAGAATTCCAATTTTTCAAAATCTCCTTTACTCAAAAAAACAATGGAACATTTACAAAACAGTATCTTTTGGAACCCTGGAGAAGGTGGTATCTTGGCAGCCTCATGCCAGGGTCAGGCAAGGAAATAGAGTCAGATGTCAAGACACCTCACCATTATACATACTTAAATTGGCTCGATTGCACTTGAGCCTAACTGTGGCTCTCTCTGCCTTTCTCTCTTGGAAGCTGGAAGTTTGTTCTGGGCACTAGGAATAAGCATGTTCAGCCACAAAAAAAGATGTCTGTGCTACTTCCACCACCTATGATGTCCAAGGAGTATTTCTAGTGGGAAATAATTCAACAACATGCACACTGGCTCAGTACAGGGAGGAGGCCTTTTTGCTGACTTAAGCAATTTTATGACTAATAATAACTAACAGTTATTGAGTGCTCACTATGTACCACATTTTGTTCTAAGTACTTTATAGGTATTAATTCATGAAATCTACCAGGAACCTTATAAAACAGGTACTATATAGTAATCCCTATTTTACAGAAGGGGAAGCTGAAGCACAGAGCTCTTCCCTACGTTCACACAGTGGGTAAGTATAGAGCCAGAATTTGATTTTAGGAATTCCGGTCCAGCAGTCTTTCTTTTCTTTCCTTTTCTTTTTCTCTTTCTTTTTCTTTTCTTCCCTTCCCCTTCTCCTCCCCTTCTTTTCCTTTCCTTTCCTTTCCTTTCCTTTCCTTTCCTTTCCTTTCCTTTCCTTTCCTTTCCTTTCTTTCTGCCATCTTCTTTCTTAACCACTATGCTACAAGGCTTCTCCTTTGAAGATGGCCTCAAAACCATTTTTTTGTATTTACTTGTAGGCTACCTTTAACCAGAGATACTCCAAGTTGATATACTCTGTATGGCCTTTTTAGACCTTCATGACCAAACTGGGAATTGCAGATTGGCCATATCATTACAAACATAAATCTTCCTCACATTATCTGTGTATCTGCACCATTATGACAAACTGGTTCCTCTTGTTCCTTCTATGTTAAGACTCTTAGAGTCACAAAATGATAAGAATAATGTCAAGAGAGCTCAGAGAGCCTAGAAAAGTAACTGGGGCTCTATGGGCTTCAGTTTCTGTATCCATAAGGGTGTCGGACAAGATGAACTGGAAGGTCCTTTCCAGTTTTGATATCATAGGATTCCTATTCTATCTTCCATTCTTTTATTCCATTAAAGTACATTTTAAAAAGGAAAGTCTCCAAATCTTCTTTAAGTCAAATCAACTGAAAACCAGGACTTGGCGTTGGGAACTGGATTCTTTCAAGTTTACCTTTCTCTAACAAATAACCAACTTTCTGGATATATTACATGGGGATAGAAAGTTTAGAAATAGTTTTGGAAAGACAGGAGCGCAGCTGAATCCTGAAGGCAAAAAGAAGGAGAACAAGTAAATTGGGAACAGACTTAAAAGCAGACAGTGTAGATCAGGTATGATATTAATCCCATTCTGGAACTCAGCTTCCCTATCTGGGAAATCAAAAAGGCAGTGTGTGTCTTCCCTTAACTGTAAAGAGAAGCTGAAATAATAAATAAGTAACTATTTAAGAAGCATTTGAAGGGGCGCCTGGGTGGCTCAGTCGGTTAAGCGTCCGACTTCAGCTCAGGTCACGATCTCACGGTCTGTGAGTTCGAGCCCCGCGTCGGGCTCTGGGCTGATGGCTCAGAGCCTGGGGCCTGCTTCCGATTCTGTGTCTCCCTCTCTCTCTGCCCCTCCCCCGTTCATGCTCTGTCTCTGTCTCAAAATAAATAAACGTTAAAAAAATTAAAAAAAAAAGAAGCATTTGAAGATTCTTAGGTGCTACAGAAAGTCAAATTCAAAGAATACTCATAAGAACAGGATGACAAAGTAGAAAGAACATTGACTTCTAGTCCAGGCTCTTCCATTATCTAAGACAAATCCCTTGCCCTCACCAAGGTCCCAGTCACTCAATCTGGAACAAAAAGGCATATACAGCATATGTGCAGTACAGTGTAATGGTTGAGTGTGGGCTTGGAGACTAAAATTCCTGGATTCCAATCCTGGCTCTACCGTTTGCTAGCAGTGTTACCTAAGTTGCTTAATTTCTCTCTGTCTCCTTGTCTTCCTTTGTGAAATTGCGAAATACAGTCACCTCATATGACTGTAGTGAAGAATAAAGGAAATTATACAATTTCAAGGGCTGAGAATGGTACCTGGCACATAGAAGTTACTCTGCAAATGTTAGCAGTTGTTGTTTGTTATTGTTATTATTATTATTGCACTTCAAGCTCGATGAGCTATAAGTCTGTGGTTTCAAATACTGGCAGCAAAGCTAATTAAAGAAAAAAAGTTATCCTCTATTCCTTAGATAGAAAAAGGGACTCAAAGAGCTCTTTGCTCTCTGTGCTTCAGGGACATGAGTACAGGTACCCAATGCCTGCTGGGAAGTCTGACTTTGTTTTTTATATCAGATTTACTAGCCAGTAAAGCAGATGTCACATCCCTCAGATAACTCCATGTACACACATGTACCTCATCACCTGTTCATTATTTTATTTGATCCTTTATTTCACAGCATATTTATTCTCATTCTAAGATGATGTAGCAAAATTAAAAAGAACATGGACTTTGTAAACCTCTAAAGAAGTGTTTGAGCTCAGCCTTGCCACTATGTGACTTTGGGCAAGTCACTTAATGTAGTCAAGTCTCAGTTTCCTCCACCTGTAAAATAGGGGAGGGATTCAATGACTGAATGTTTTTTATGTGCCTAATATGTGGTAACTTAAATCACAGACACATCAAAACTTTAATTCCTGGGTTCTAGTCTAAGAATTCCTTAGTGTTAGGAGGGGGAAAATACATTTAAAAATAAACACCAAATGTTGTACCTACCATGAGCCATGCATAGTACTAGTACAAGATATATGAAGATAAACTGGTCCCAGCCCCTAACCTCAGGGCCAAACTGTCTGCAACTGCTTTGGGTATATGGGAATATTATTTGCAAGCAGCTTGCAAATTTAAGCTGAAAGGGGAATCAGAATGAAACTAGACACACATAAAAAAATTTAATTTCTTTTAAGCACCTTGATGTTGCAGAGCCAGAGACTAAAAGTTCATGAAAGAGAAGCCACAGCCAATAGTCATTTTCCCCAATAAATAGTATAGTTCCCCCTTCCAACTAGGCCTGAAGCTTTTGGAAAAATGTGTGACAGCCTTATGGTTACCAGTAACAATGTTTACTATCACAACCATCTTTGGTCAGGACTATCCATTTTTAAGAAAGAAATCACATAGATTAAAAAACAGAAATTTCAAATGGGGAAAAGGACTTCCTACTTTTTTCCAGACTGAAAAAAAGAGCCCTCATCTCTTAGTCTAATCTTTATGATTCCAGTCACTGATAATTTTGTTCATATGACACTGTAATTCAAACTTCAAGCCCCCTTATAGGAATCTGACCATTTTGTTAAATTCTATTCTATTAAGCAGTAACAAAAACATAGAAATAATAGACCGAAATAACACATAGAAATATTTATTCACTGAATTTTAGATCAACTTCCCAACTATACAACATGCTTTTCGCCAAAATGACTCCAAATGCTCTCATTCTAAAATTTCAATATTAGATTTCCCTCTGATAAAACTACCAAGATCCAGAAAATGAAAAGAGGGTAATGGAGAAAAACAAATGAACAAAGTTTGAAAGCCTTACTGAAATCAGAAGGTTGATAATCAAACTATCTCCAGTTTACAAAAATATCTGCAAAGTAGGGAAAGTCTGTATTATGTTTGCACCAAGTATGGAGAAAAGACTCTTCAATACCACTACCATCCTCCATTCCTTCTATCTCTCATTAAAAATGTGTTCCAATTCACTTGTTCCTGTATGTTATATTAGGAGATAAAAGAATGAGTTTTGCTAAATGGGCTAAGACATTTGCAAATGATATATCTGATAAAGGATTAGTATCCAAATCTATAAAGAGCTTATCAAACTCAAAACCCCCCCAAAAAAATGCTCCAGTTAAAAAATGGGCAGAAGTCATGAATAGACATTTTTCTAAAGAAGACATCCAGATGGCTAACAGACACATGAAAAGATGCTCAACATCACTCATCGTCAGGGAAATACTAATCAAAAGCACAATGAGATATCACCTCACACCTATTGGAATGGCTAAAATTAACAACATGGGAAACAACAAGTGTTGTCAAGGATGTGGAGAAATGGGAACCCTGTTGCCCTGTTGGTGGGAATGCAAACTGGTGCAGCCACTCTGGAAAACAGTATGGAAGTTCCTCAAAAAGTTAAAAATAGAGCTACCCTATCACCCAGAAATTGCACTACTAGGTATTTACCCAAAGGATACAAAAATACAGATTTGAAGGGATACATGCATCCCAATGTTCATAGCGGCATTATCTACAATAGCCAAAGTATGGAAAGAGCCCAAATGAATAAAGAGGTTGTGGTGTGTGTGTGTGTGTGTGTGTGTGTGTGTGTGTAATGTGGTATACACACACACACACACACACACACACAATGAAATATTACTCAGCCACCAAAAAGAATGAAATCTTGCTAACAATAATATGAATGGAGCTAGATTGTATTATGCTAAGCAAGATAAGTCATTGAAAGACAAATACCACATGATTTCACTCATATGTGGAATATAAGAAACAAAACAAATGAACATATGGGATGGGGGAAAAGAGAGAGGCAAACCATAAAACAAGAATCTTAACTATAGACAACAAACTGAGGATTGCTGGAGGGGAGGTGGGCACAGGGAATGGGTTAATTGGGTGATGGTATTAAGGAGGGTACTTGTTATGTTAAGCACTGGGTGTTGTATATAAGTGATGATGAATCACTAAATTCTACTCCTGAAACTAATATTATACTATATGTTAACTAACTGGAATTTAAATAAAAACTTCAAACTACAAAAAGTTTTTAAAAAATGAATTTTTGTATGCTGTTCTTGCAGCATCACCAAATGTTGCCCTCTGCATATCTGATAGCAAATTAAATCCTAGGAGTGATTCATTCTTCCTAGAGTAGGTGAGGTGAAGCTGATTGAAGTTTCCCCAGAGGGAAACAGCTCTGGGCCAGGTCTAACAGGGATTCCTCCGAATGGCAGCCAGAAGAGCCAAGACGATGATGTCATGAACAGATTTTCTCACTTTCATCAATAAGAGATGACAAAGGAAAATAAAAGATCTACTCAGTCTCAGTATCTGTCACATGGGGACATTGCCAATTCATACGATCACAGCTTACCTTTCATTAGTTTCTATATCAAAACAGAACCTTTTGTCGATAGACTCTGTCTTCCTCCTCACGCAGTACTTCAGCGTTAAGTCCAAGGGCCCCTGCTATAAGAGAAGGATTAATAGCCAATTTGAAAAAAAATGCACAGAGGCTTCTTCTGCCTCCTTAATTATCCTCAGGGTCACTTGGAAGGCATCTGTCAGGGCAGCAGGAGCAATGTGTCATCTCACTGAGAACAGTAGTTGCAGAAAGGTGGCAGATGGTTTCTTCCTGCTCCAATAATTAATGGCTGAGACCAGGAGAAAATTCTCAGAGTAGATGACTATTCTTTTCCAAGCATGGTAGATTAAATAGAAAGCTCAATACACATTAACATAAGGGGAGTATTGGAGAAATCGGCTGACCAAAAGGCATTAAGTGTACCAAATAAGGTAGGAAGTGGCTTTATGAAACCCTCCTTCCATTAAATTGGCAGATAGAGGAGAGAAGGCAAACATTTTCATTCCCCACCTCCAGGCTCTTCAGGAAGACAGGAATCACGAAAGCAATCTCTCCAAAGATAGATCATGGAGTAAGCAAATTTGAGTTATTTCTCAAAGTGCATTTGTTATTTCATACATGAAGAATAGTGTAGCCCCCTTAGTTTTATGGACACTTAATAAGGCCATTGAAATCCACTCTGTTCACAGATTAAAATACCCCAGTCCCATATTGTTCGGTTTCCCTCTATTATCTCAATAGAGACAACGTAGTATAAGAAAGAGAAGTAACATTTATCCATTACCTACTATGTGCCACATATTATGCTAGGTGTCTTCAAACCAACTTTCCTCACAACAATCCTTAGAAAGAACTGAAGCTCAGAGAGATAAAATGACTTACCTAAAGTCACTCGAGTCGGTATAGTGATAGTGGAAATAGCAATAAACTAGGAAGTCCATCCCAGTTATACCATTTAGTAGCTTGCAACCCAGGGCAAATCATTTCTGTCACTGAATCTTAACTTCACAATCTATAAATAGGGATAATGCTAACTAACCACCTTGTTCCCACCAAGTCAGAAACACTTCCCAAATGCCAGGTCTGTGTTTAGGTACTCTGCCCTCCAAACTGGACCATAGAGTTGATCCAGCTGATCAAAAAAGAATTCTTTCTCACTGGCACACTCAACCCCCTTTCAGGCCTTTTTGCTGCTCCCACACTATAAAAACTCAACCCTGAATTCATCCTTCAATCTGCCTTCCTTGCCCCAGTACTGAGGGTATCAAACATTACTAGCCTTTCAAGAGGACAGTGATTAACAGTATCATATACTGACCCTCCCTCTTTAAACTCATCTCCCTCAGGTTCAGAGGCATCATGGCTCCTTGGCCTACACCCTGCTTACTACTTCAGGTTTACTTCTAGCCACCCCAATCTGTTTTATGCCCCATCCATGCATAAGTACTCTCATTTCACACATATGTCATAGTCTTTCATGGCTCCATAACTGCAAATAATGTTTCCTCCACCTGAAATGACTTTATCTATATCCTTTGCCTGGAAAAACTCTTAATTGTTCTACAAACTGCAGTTCAGCTTTCATTTCCTCCAAAATTCTTCCCAATCCCGCACACTGTTCACTATGTGTTTTCTGCATTATTTCTTTCCCCAATTGACTGAGAACTCAAGGGGATGGACATTTTATTTATCTTTATCTCTCTAGCACCTAGTGAAGAATTAGTGCTCCAGAAATTTTTATGAACTACAGTATTATTCTTGTCATTTTTCTGATGAGTAAAATTATATTAAGCAACATTATACACCTTACTTGGGGTCAAAAAGCTACTAGGCCACAGAGCTCAGATTTAAACCCAGTTTTTGAAACTCAAAATACAGCACTCTTTCCCCTTACCATAACTGCCTGACAGGGAAATGATGGGGATCTTCTAAAATAGCATTTAGGAAGATAATTCATAAAGTGAACAGAACAACACAGGTGGAAGGTGATAGGCTGAACTAGCAGGGAACACTGGTAAGTACCACAGTCAGAAAGAGGGTTAATTCCTCTATCTTCAAATTGAACTAATAAAATTTCACAGGGCTGCTGAGAAAATAAATGAGGCACATGGCAAAAAGTGTCTAGCTCAGTGCCTGCTACACAGTAGACATTCAATAAATAGTGGATTATATGGTGTTATTATAGTCTCACTCGTATGATTTACCTTTCTAGAACACAAACCAGTAATAGGAACTGACAGAACTGACAAGAAGAAACCATTTTCAACTTCATTTTATGGAAATTCAAGTTACTACTTTACCTCCCTTTCCTTCTAAATAGAGAACCCAGTTCCTCTTCTCATTCCGTAAGGAATCCCATATTAAAACTGCTTAGGCTAACACTACTGCAAGTTTTGCAAGCAGCCTCTTAATGAAACGGGACAAGGAAAAAAGAACTAAAATGAGAGCTTGCACTCATCTGCTAGGAGGATATGAAAGTGGCATCTACTGCTTCTGTCTTGAGCTTTCCAGTATGTGCCTGAGCAAGAGAGAAAAGGCCTAAGTGAGCTTACTGTCTAAGAGAGTAACATTAAAGGCTGGGATCTGGAAAGTGATGTGTGTAGAAAAAGAAAAGGAAGAGACCACAGGACAATGTTTCTTATAAGTACTAGCCAGTCAGATACATCAGCTGCATTCTGACAGAAATGGAACAAATTCTGTGATAGTGCACCAGATAAATTTATTGAAACCATACTGAAAGGTGCCTTGGCAGACTGGAAACTAAGGAGAGTTTTGGAATCATGAGTGAATAACTGGCCTACATAGAAGCATTGGATGAGGGTTCTGGAAATCCCATTTAGTACACTTCATTAGAGGTGATTTTCATCTCCAATACACATCCAAAGCAGAGTAACAAAATTTTTGGTTAAAGACACAAAAAAGCAGTTTTCAAGAGCCTGCCACCAAATCTCAGACCTCTCTAATTTTCTGTGGACAAGTAACACAAGAGAGATCTTCCATGGAAACCAGCAGCAATGGAGAAAAATTGGCCCATTTTTTCTCCAAATTTCTGCCTACCTCAATTGGGTCTACTTATACCACCAAGGTCCAGCATTAGTAAATGAACCTTGTTTCATTTTTTAAACAATTTGTAAAGAACAGAAATCCTTAAAGACCCATGCATTAACACCCAGTTTGAGAGGCAGTTTAAAGGACACATTAAACTACTTTTAGAGTATGAAACGTTTATCTATCAGCTTTTATCTTAATAAACCCTTGAGTGAGTGAGTGTGTGTGTGTGTGTGTGTGTGTGTGTGTGTGTATGTGTGTGTGTGTATATTTCCAAAGCCTCTACAAATACAGGCAAAAGTGAGATGACAGAATAAAAATTTTTGGCTGTGTGGTCATTATATTATATTATATTATACAGTATAGTATGTAATATATAAGATTAAGTTCTTCCGGTAAGTAAATATCTTCTCAGTATGTTAAACTCATCTTGACATTTTAGGGAATAGGGGAAGGTTTGGAGGACAGAAGAAGAGGCATCGACTGCTTAAATATATCTGAACATTACATAGAATATGGGGTATAGGTTATTCCATTATTCCAACTTTAGGAAACAGACATATTTATCTAAAAAAGCAATTTTGGAAAATGATATTTTAAACACTTGCTATTTAAAGGAATACTACAGTAGAAACTTATTAAAAGCAAGTAGTAAATACTATCCTCCTCCAATTCATCCATATTCTTGCAAATTTTCTTGTACAATGTGACAGGCACTTTTAATAATTTAATAAATGATCTTAAAGAGTATGGGCACTTTCAGAAGGCTTGACATAATAGATATCATTTTACTCAACTGAGTAGTATCTGGTCCAATGCAAACTTAGGCCAAGAAGAACACGTCATGATTCACGTGACAGTGATGAACTTGATTCTTTGGCACTAAGTCAAGGTATACTGTTTTCTGAGATGCAGGCACAGATGCATTTCAAAAAATATGGCACACAAAAGAACCTACCTGCTTAGCACCTGGCTTCTGCTCCGTAGGTGTCATGGTGAGCGTTTTGGTCTCTTTCTCATACTGGCAGTAATATTTAACCCAGGATATTCCCAAAGCCCCTACAATGAGAGGCAAAAGTGAGCTGGCAGAATATATTTTTAGCAGTATGGTCAATACACTCCTAAGGTGGAAAGGCTGTACAGTCTGCTCTTCATAGTCATAGTGCTTCAGATCCAGCCCTAACCCTCCCCTGAACTCCAGCAGCCCTGCAGTGCCATCAACACACAGAACATATGGAGATCCTAAAACTCATCAACTACTTTCCACATTGGCTCTAGCTTGCTCCAAATCACTCTCCTTGCCATGTCCCCTATGAATGCTTCTACTACTTATCTTATTACTGTATGAGTTGGATACAACTGTAATCTTCTGCTCGTCTTTCCCTGTAACCTGCCATTTGACTGGTGGTTGGGTTCTGTCCATTCATTCCTTACATGCCTCTCTTCCAGCTGCTTCATCCTCTCCATCCCTTTTAGACCTGAATTAGTTCAGGGCCCTATTGCTGAATTACTTTTAATGTTTTATGAAGTATTTCAGACAAAACAAAAATTCACTATTTCTCCACAATTAACCATGTCAGTGGTCTTCTCTCTGATTTCCCCTATCTCTGATCACTCTTTTCTAGTGCATTCTCCACTCTTTAGCTAAAGGAGTATTCTTAAAACACATATCTCTATATCATTTCTTTTATAAATCATGCATGGCTTTTCCACCATCTTTAAACTCTGGTTGGCCCACAAAATCCTTCATAACGTGATATTTACCTTTCCTACTTTGTCTTTTGCCACCCTCTATGGTCCTGTCTCATTGAATTACTTTCAGTTATCAAACAAAGAGTTGGTCATATATTTTTAGTCCAAATTTTCAAGACATATTTAAGACTTAATGGGTCACCATTAATAATTACAAAAGGATTACAGGTATAAACCAGGGTTATTCTTGGCAAACCAAGAACCTGAAAATAGATTACATCCTCACATACCTCTGTGCCTGAGTAACATGCAATGGTATATACACGGAAATTTCTTCCCCCCCTTTTTTTTTGCCTATCAAACTCCCACTCATAATTCGAGTTCTAATTCAAACATTACTTCCTCAGTGAAGCCCTTAGATATATGCCGCAAATGCAATGCTCAGCACATTTCCTTATAATTCTTGACATAGTTGTCTATCTTCCTCCTCAGACTGTGAACTTGAAGGCAAAAATCAAGATTGATTCAGTTTTTAAAATCCCCCAGTGCACTGCATATTGTCTGGGAAAAAAAGGATGCTCAATAAATATTCAACTGAATAGCAATGTCATATCCATTTGACAAATTAGAAAACTGGAGCTAGTTGATATTATAGCCAAGATTGCAAACTCATTATTTCCACCTCTTTTATAATATAGCAATAGTTCTCAACCAAGGGAAATTTTGCCTCCCAAGGGACATTTGGCAACGTCTGGAGACATTTTAGGTTGTAGTACCTAGGGAGTGCTATTAGAATAAAGTGAGGACAGGGCATAGATGCTGCTAAACACCCTAAAATGTATATTATCCACCACCCCCCCGACAAAACAAAGAATTACCCAGCCCAAAATGTCAATAGCACTGAGATTGAGAAATACTGCAATATAGAGTTGAAGGGATACATCTGAAAAGTGGAAGAACACATCTTTGAAAAATATCAAAAGTTAATTTCTCAAAGAGAGGAAAAGCATGATAATATCAATGCTTAAATGCCATGTTTTGTGAATTGCAGTAGTTTTTTGCCACTGGTAACATCTGAGTAGCTTCTTCTTCCTACTTCTCAGGTACAATAATTATGGGCAGGGCTGAAATCACAGGTTTTGGGAGCACTGGGTCATAGTTCATAAGGAAAAGCAAACAGCACATGCAGGTTTTCATGATGTTATTTAGGAGGTAGGAAGGCTTGAATCTTCTGCAATATTCAGTGAGTGGATAAGTTAACTCATTTTCCTTGGTCAGCAATGAACAACTGTCATCCCATTGAAATCACAATGGTTGTTGTTTAGTGCTTTAAGAGCAACCATGTGCTCCTAAGGCAGTGAGAAGTATAGAGTATAGTGATACGAGCATAGGTTTTGGCATTTCACAGAATGGAGTTTACTCTTAGGGCTGTTACTTGATAGTTGGGTGACTTTCAACTAGTGATCTCTCTAAACCTCAGTGGCCTCAAGTAAAATGGGTATGATAAGTGGTTTTAATGATCAAATGAAATAGTGTATTTAAAGTACTTAGCAACATGCCTGCCTGGCACATAGCAGGTGTAATAAATATTATTTTTTTCCTCTTTTCCCTTACCACTTTTTCCCCCCATCAGAGCCATCAGAAGGATTAAACAATTAACAATCCCCATTTTGAATCACAGAGAAAAACCTTAAATCTTATCATCCCAGACCCTTTGTAAGACAAATTCCTAACCTCCCCCTCCAAATTCCCCTTCATTTTTTTTAATCCACTATTTCCAGACTGTTCTCCAAAGAGGTGTAGCTGTCAAGGGTCTGTGAACAATATAGGTGCCTGGAGTTTGGAGAGTGGCAAGTAGGTGACAGTCTACTGAAACCCAATGGGGATCCCTATATTCCCACACACATTTCTCTTGTGTATAGAGATAGCCTTCGATGGTTGGCTGTCCTGGAAGTTTGCATGTCTGGGGAGCTTCTTTCATCCTTTTCTTAAGTTCTTCCATCTCTTCCCGAGTACTGGAGAAATGATTTCTTGTCTGTTAAGACATTATCATCATAATTATTATCATTATCACCATTATGATATGATATGATATCACCATTATCACCATTATCATTATCACCATTATCACCTTATTAAAAAGCATTTATTGGTCAGAGATACAGTGCAGAGTTTTCTTGGTTTTCATTATATGCTACAACACAGCAGAAAACAAATGTTGAACAGCATAGTGATGAGAAAACAATTTTATGGAGTGTAACAGTACTAAAGACTAAAAGGGAAACAGAAACATAAATAATATAACAATAAAACACATGTGGGAGACTTTTATTTTCTAATGGGAATGACATAAGGCTCCAATAAACAAGGGCTCTTAGAATTCTGAGCACCAGACTGACTTCCACTTTACAAGAAGGGAGACTATAAAGAAGGTTCCCAAAGATAATATTATCATGGCAACTTTTACGTTTTGCCTCAAGTAAAGTTACTGCCTATTTGACTCTGAATCAAATTCTAGCCATTAGGATAAAATACATGACAATGTGCTCTTTGAAGATAGATCAACTGAAAAGTTATGTTTTCATATTCATGAAAAACAAAAGCTAATGGTAAGAAATAATATATGTACAACTACACAACTAAACACAATAGCAAAACACTGTTTGAAATATGGGTAAGAAAATCACTAGAGATAGGTCCTTAGCATCTAGCCTCAAGATTGTTATGTCAGTCAAAATGGTGATCTGGGCTGCCCTATCTTTTTGGGTCTACTCTATTGATCATCCTGTGAATGAATTCATCATGTACATAGATACAAGGGGTTTTATTAAACTCATACTTCTCAATTTCTTTTTTGAGGAAGATTCAAATGATTAACCTGGTTATAGGGATATTTTATAAATCCAAAGACACGGGCTCTCATATTCTGGTGAAGGTGAGTACCCAGCAAGAAATTTAAAAAACTACTCTAAGTCAAGATCCTCCTAAACAACCAAGTGAAGTTTATGCCCACTACAACTTACCAACCTATTTAATATAAAAATACTCTGTAAATTTTATGCAATGTAACAACTAGTCCAAAATCACTATCTCAGTGATGCCTTCTCTAACTGCACGAGGCAGTCAATGTTCTACTTTCTGTGCTGCTTTAAAAATTTTGGTCGTAACACTATTGAAACACTTATCACAAGGAATTATGATGTGTTCCAGTGTTTATGTCTCCTTCATGCAAGAAACTGTATGTACCCTGAGGAAAGAAAAACTAACATGCATCATTATGGTATGTCCAGTGTCTTGTAAAATGTCTGGCACAAAGTATATATTATATCCATAAGTATTCATTAAATGTAGTTAAATAAATGAATGAGAAAAAAATATATATGTTACAAAGATGGGAAGACTGTGCCTATGCCATCTATAAGAACTAGCATTTGAAAGAAGGTGAATAAAACCTTTAGATATAATTTATTTAACTCTAGTATTTAATGAGAAAAGGAAGAGAGGGGAAAATGGACATTTGTGGTCATAAAACTCTTAAGTGTCTAGACTGACCAACATGGAAGTAGCATAAGACCTGTGCTTAAACAAGCCCATAGTTGGTTTCTGATCTGGAAGAGATGTGGTAAATTAGCAACATTTAATAAATATTGGATAGATAGAAGTATTAGTGGGTGGAGGGGTAGGTTTGAGCAACAATAAGTCTCAAAGACTGGGGAGAGTTGAAACTGAAAGAGCAAGAACAGTCTAGCACACAAAAATATTTGTGATCCATACCAATATGTCCTGACAAATTGGCTAGACTGCAATAAACTGGGATTTCAAGGTTAAAGTTATTGGGGCTAAAATCCAACTGGAATGTGGGGACAGGTGAAGAAACCCACATGCAAACTCACATTCTGCAAACTGAGCTGGAGCTGCTGTTTGTATGGGAGAAAATCCTGTGTGAGCTCTACAGTCAAGCTGTTGGAAATGAAGAGGCTATGAAGAAAGGCCAAGACCTAGGGAAAACATGTAAAAATAAATTTATCACCAGCATCTTCTCATTATCAAATAAAGGAAAAAGAAACACGGAAAATAAATTCCATAGCGTTACACAGTATAGTGTTAAAAGTAATCATGAAAACAAAAACAGGTGTACATAAAGCCATTCTCTTATTAGGTTAAACATTTACACTGGAATTAGTTCCAGAAAATAAGAACTAATAACAAATTTGTTCATTCAGATCATTTTCAGATAGCATATAAAACCATTCATAATTTGGATAGTATGGAAATAGACTGTGTCTTTTCTCTTTATATCTTCAGAATTGTCACAGAGTAGGTGCTCAATTAATATTTGTTGAATAAACAGATAAGTGAATAAATGAATAAAGTAAGATTCTGTACCTTAATGAAGACTGTCATAATGCTAAAATATTCACGGAGTGTGAACCCATTTTTGAGTTAGAAATGTTTCAGGGGGGTTTCAGAATAAGACATACAAATGATCAATCAAACATTTTTAATGTTAAAAATATTCAACCTCAATAATCAAATACACATAAATAAAAACAAAGAAAATATGATTTCAGCTATCAAAAACAAACCTTTAAAAAATACTCAATTCTGCCAATAGTAAAGTGTAATAAGAAGTAGTAATAATTGTTCTATTCTTTTTAGAAAATAAACAGGTAGGTGCATATAAATATGCACACAGATAACACCATATGCATATAGACATGCATATATGTATAAATACAAAAACAAACTATATATATGTATATATACATAAATACATATAAAAACTATGTACATATACACACGTATGTGCTGCATATATATGTGCATGTGTGTGTGTATAAACGTATATGGGTGTGTATACCACATACATTGTCATATACACAATCTTTCTGTTTCTCTCCCAAGCTTTCTCATCTCAGGAAATGACACTACTACCCACTCAGTCAAGCCAGAAAGTAAAGAATCATCCCTGATTTCTCTTCCACTCACATCTGAATCCAAATTGTGTCAGTTTTATCTCCAAAACATAGCTCTAATCCAGCCATTCTTTTCTGTTTGAACTTCCACCACCCTAACCGAAACCAACATCTTTTCTTGCCTAGACCACTGTAGTAGCCTCCTAACTCGTTTCCTCACTTTCACTGTTGGTCTCTTTTAAGCCATTCTCCACACAACAAAATCAGCTCATGTCATATTCTGTTTAACTCTTATAAGTGGTTTTCCACTACACTTAGACTAATATCCAAACTTTTTACCATGCTTACAGGTCATGTGCCTTCCTATCATACATTAATCACTTCCTGCCCCTCTCCTTTTCTATTGCCAGTATCTAGAGGCACTAATCTCTTCATTCTTCAAGCACACCATTCTTTCCTAACTTAAGGACTGTGCACATGTGTTTTTCTGTGTCTGGAGTATTATTTCTCCATTATTCATGTGGCCTCATCCTCTCTTTCTTTAGATCTTATCATAAATGATACTTTCAGAGGTCTTCCTTGACCATCTACTCTAAAGTAGCTGCCCATTCTTGTTATTGTTTTAGCCATTATCACAACTTACAATTAATTTTATTTATCTGTATCCTTGTTTCCCTTCTGTCTACCCAATACGAATGTAGTCCTCATAAAGACAGAAACAGAGTCCGTCTTATTAATTATAGAATACCCAGTGTTTAGCACAGTGCCAGTCATAGAAGTTCAATTAATTTTTTTGTATAAATGAATACACACTTTATTGCATACATATATATACAGATACATACAAATGTGAGCACAGATACACGTGTACATAGATATACATGTTCATGTGCAAAACATATACATGTACACACATGTTCACACATGTGTACACACACACCCACATAAGTAAAAAGGCATACACAAATAGAGAAAGAAATATGTAGATACACAGAAAACTTAGAAGGAAAATGCCACAATATTAACAGTGATTACCTCTGTTTTGGAAATTTATTCTTTTTGTTTTATTTTGACTATAGTTATTTTTATCTTTTATGCAATAAAAGTACATTTTTTATGCTAGAAAATAAAAGTTGTTAAAATTCCACATAGTTGTCAAATCAAAGCACATCACTTTTATGCTCAAAGAGATGTAAGTAGAAAAAAATAAAGAAGATAGAAGTAAAAACAGTACAGAAGTAAAAACAGTACAATAGGAAGTCATTGAGTGCAAGGGACATGAGCTTGTAGCACATTGACTGGTATCTGATAGGCCCTTTAGAAGCTTTATGAAAGCATGAGAGCAAGGAAGGGAGGAGAGCAAGATAAAATGAAGGGTGACCGAGAAATCAAAGGAGGTAGAGAAGGAAAGAGGAAGCAAAGAAAGAGAAAGAAAGGAAAATCATAGCTAGGGAGACAAAATGGGAAAGAAGGGACACTTGGGTGGCTCAGTCGGTTGGGTGTCCGACTCTTGATTTCAGCTCCAGTCATGATCTCCTGGTTTGTGGGATCAAGCCCCACATCGGGTCTATGCTGACAGCATGGAGCCTGCTTGGGATTCTCTCTCCTTCTCCCTCTCTTTCTCTGTCTCTCTCTCAAAATAAATACATTAACATTAAAAAAAAGAAAATGGAAAGAAAAGAAAGGCAGAAGGGGTGGTAAGGAAGAGAAAATGTTAGTAAGAAAGCAAGAACAACACAAGCTGGTGTGTCTATTTTCTTGACATTCATTATTAAGCATTAAATATCCTTCACCATCTTTGAGATTTCAATTTTATGATCAAAGTTCTCTGCATTTACCGGGAATTTGGTAAATATTTTTAGACTATTCATCAACAGATAGAACTTACTGGCTCCACAATATTGAACTTCTTAGACTCCTGAACTTCCTGGATTTGATAAACATAATCAAGGGAGGACTCAAAGAAATTATGCCTCTCTTTGTCCACCTGGAGGTCTGCCTGTAGAAGAAGAGCAGCAAAAGTCACATAACAGCATAATCATTCACACAAGTCACTGCTTATGCACTCAACAGAATGCTAGAGCTAGGAAATAATTTAGCCACCAAGTAGTGATCTTACTCCTTTATTTTACAGATAGGAATTATAAGTCAAGAAATAAAAAGCGATCAATGGGAAACTTCTGGTTTCTGGTCGAACAATTAAAAAGCTTGCAAGTTATCATAACCATCCTCACAAAAAAACAATGCTGAACAAGTTGAAAATCAACAACTTCTCTTAGAAACAACAGAGAACTGAAATCAGAGGGAAAAGAGCTGCCTCAAATATTGGATAGACAGGTCAAAATGGAGAATCAGAGCTTATGAGAGCAAAAGCCCCGAAGCAGAAACCCGTTGCTATAGCCAGTATGAGACTATCAGTTATTTAAGAACAACTCTATAAGGAAATCCAAAGACAACAGGGAAGACAGAAACAAAAATACCACAGGAAATTTTGGCCTCTGAGAACAATATCTAGAATAAACCAAACATACCCTAACAGCAAACTAAGTACAGCCTAACTCCTATCTATATAAACATAAAGCCTCATGCTAAAGACCTATTTACCTCAGTTCCTTTTACCCAGAACATTACACCTGGCTTTCAACAAAATATTACAAGTCATTCAAAAGGGGAAAAGACAACAAAAACCAGTTTGAAGATAAAAAACAAACATAAAAACCAAACAGATAAGGCAGAGATACTGGATGGTGGAATTATTAGACAAGAAATTATAGTGAGGGCTCTAATGGAAAAGGAGGACAATACACAAGAACAGATGGGTAATACAAGTGGAGATATGAACGGTAGGGAAAATAATAAAAAGGAAATGCTAGAAATAAAAAACATTAGCAGAAATGAAGAATGCCTTTAATGGGCTTATCAACAGACTGAACAAGGTTAAGGAAAGGATCAATGAACTTGAAGATATGTTAATAGAAACTTCAAAAACTGAAATGCAAAAAGAAAAAAAAAAGAATGAAAAAGATGGAGTAGTGTATTTAAAAGGTGTTGGACAATTATAAAAAGTGGAAGATACACATACTAGGCTTTCTAAAAGGAGAAGAAAAAGAGGAACATAAATACTTAAAGTGATGACTAAAATTCTTCCAAAATTAGACAGATAAGAAACAAAAGATTGAGAAAGCTTAGAGAACAATAGTATAAATACAAAAAAATTACATGTAGGCATATCATATTCAAATTGCACAAAGTCAAAGGCACAGAGAAAATCTTGAGAGAAGCAGGAGAAAATCTACCTTATCTAAAGAGGAGCAAGAATAAGATTTCTCTTAAGAAACAATGCAAAAAGAAGAGAGTGGAGTGAGATGTTTAAGGTACTGAAATAAAATCACAAATTTATACTTCTGCATCCAGTAGTTATTTTTCAAAGGTGAAGAAAAATTAAAGATTTTCTCAAATAAAAATTTAAGGAATGTTTGAAGTAAACTTGTGACTGAAGAAATATTACAAGGAGTTCTTCAGACAGAAGGAAAACTATATAAATGAGAACTGTGTACCAAAAAAAGAAAAGAAGAGTACTAGAGAAGGAATAAATGAAGGTAAAATAAAATCACATTTTTCTTATTTTTAACTAATCTTACAGATAAGAGTTTGTCCAAGATAATAATTGTAACAACGTATTTGGTGAATATAGATTATCAAATAGTGAAATGAATGACAATAATATTATAAGTGACTGAAGGGAGCAATAGGAAATATTCTGTTATAAGTTTCCTGTACCACCCATGAAGAAGCATAATGTTATATGAAAGCATAAATGGATTAATTGTAAATGTGTATGGGAAACCAGAGTAACCACTAAAAAAGTTTTAAAAAGTATAAATCATATATGCTAGAAGAGGACATAAAAGGGAATCATACAATTTTAAGTTAAAAAAAGAGAAGGCAGATAAAAAATTAAGACAAAAATAAGCAAAGGGTAGTCAACAGTAACAAACATGGTAGATATTTATCCAACTATATCAATCACTTCAAAGGTCAATTGCCTAAGCACACCAATTAAAATGTAGAGACTGTGAGAGTGCATGAAAAATAAGAGCCAACTATATGCTATGTATAACATATCACTTGAAATATAAAAGACATAGACTAAAAGCAAAGTTATGGAGAAAAAAATTCCATGCCAACAAGAATCAAAAGAAAGCTGGAATAGCTATATTAATTTCAGAAAAAGGAGACTTTAGAGCAACAAAACCTGTCAGGGAAAAAGAGGCATAACATAATGATAATGGTAAACTCTCTAAGAAGATATAACCACCCTTATTGTGTAATAGGACATCAAAACATGGGAGGCCAAAAACTGATAGAACACCAAGGAGAAATAGGTGAATCCACAATTGGAGTTGGAAATTTCAACCTTCCTGTCAGTAATTGAGGCAGAAAATCAGTAAAGACATAATCGAATTGAACAGCACCATCAACCAACTGGATCTAATTAACATCCGTAGAACATTTCATCCAACAACAGCAGGATACACCTTATATTCAAGCTCACACAGATCACCATGATCAACCACGTTCTGGGACATACAATATACTGGAATAAATTTTCAAGAACAGGAATCATGAAAAGTATGCTCTCAGACCACAAATAAATTACACTAGAAATCAATAACAAAAAATAGCTAGAACCTGCCAAAATGCTTAGAGATTAAACAGCACATTTCTAAATGACACATGGGTCAAAGAAGATTTCTTATGAGAAATTAAAAAGTATTTTAGACTAAACAAAAATGAAAATATAACTTAGTATTTGTGGATGCTGTGAAGGCAATGCTTACAGGAATGTTTATAGCATTAAACCATATATTAGAATAAAATAAATCTAAAATCAATAATTTAAGCTCCCACCTTAGAAAAATAAGAGCAAATTAAAACCAGAATAAGCAGAAGAAAAGAAATAATAACAATTTTTAAGGAAACCAATAATATTAACAATAGGAAATAAACAAAGGAAATCAACAAAATCAAAATCTGGTTAATTTAAAACATCAAGAAAATAGATAAGACTATAGCCAGATTAAGAAAGAAAAAGAAAACACATACATTTAAAATGTCAGAAATGAGGAGCGCCCATGTGTCTCAATCAGTTAAGGATCCAACTCTTGATTTTCTCACAGGTCATGATCTCATGGTTTGTCAGATTGAGCCCCATGTCAGACTCAGTGCTGACAGCATGGATCCTGCTTTGACCCTCTCTCATTCTCTCTCTGCCTCGCCCCCACTCACGCTCTTTCTGTCTCCTTCTCTGTTAAAAATAAATAGTAAATAGCCTTAAAGAATAAAAAAAAATGTCAGAAATGAAAGCAGAGTCATCACTATTGATCTCATGGATATTAAAAGGATAACAAAGGAGTATTAATAACAACTCCATGCCTTAAATGTTGATAACCTAAATGAACTAATTCCTTGAAAGACACAAGCTTCCAATACTCACACAAGATGAAATACACAATCTGAATAGATTTATATTTATTAAAGGAATTGAATCAATAATTAAAATCCTTCCAAAAAAGAATGCACTAGATGGGTTCACTGGTGAATTTTACTAGATATTTTAAGGAAGAAATGATACCAAATTTTTACACTCTCATCCAGAAAACAGAGGCAGAGGGAATATTTCCTAACTCATTCTCTGAGGCCAGCATTACCCTGATACTAAAACCAGACAAAGACATTACAATAAAGGAAAAGTACATACTAGTATCTCTCATAAACATAGATATAAAAATTCTCAATAAAATATTAGCAAATCAAATCCACCAGGGTATAAAAAATATACACCAGGACTGCGTGTGATTTATTTCATGTATGCAAGGCTGGTGCAACATTCAAAAATCAGTTGATATAATTCATCACATCAACACCTAAAGAATAAATATTAAATGACAATACCAACAGATATAGAAAAAAATATTTGACAAAATCCAACACCCATCCTTTGAGAAAAACTTTCAACAAGCTACAATTATAAGGGCACTTCATCAACTTGATAAAGAATATCTGTAAAAAACCTACAGCTAACACCATATTTAATTTTGAGAAACTAGATATATTCTGTCTAACACCAGGAACAATTCATATTCAAATCATAGTGGAATTCTAAGCAAATGCAATAAGATAAGAAAAGGAGATAAAAAGTATATAGATTGGAAAGGAAGAAATAAAACTATCTTTTTTTTCCACACATGACACAATTGTGTGTACAGGAATTCCCCCCAAAAGTCAACAAAAATCTGTTGGAAGTAATAAGTAACTAGATAGCACAACTGCAGGATACAAAGTTGATATAAAAAATCAATTGTTTTCTTACATGCTAACAGTGGACATTGAAATTGTAAATTAAAAACACCAAACTATACGGGTGCCTGGGTGGCTCACTCGGTTAAGTGTCTGCCTTCAGTTCAGATTATGATCTCATAGTTTGTGGGTTCAATCCCCACGACGGGCTCTGTGCTGACAGCTCAGAGACTGGAGCTTGTTTCAGATTCTGTTTCACTCTCTCTCTGCCCCTCCCCTGCTTGAACTCTGTCTGTCTCTCTCTCAAAATTAAATAAACATAAAAAAACACTGAAGTATTTGAATTAGAAGAAAATTTGAAATGCTTAGTCATAAATAAAAATTTTATAAGATCTATATGATGAAAATTATAAAACCAGTAAATCAAAGATCTAAATTTATGGAGAAATATTACATGTAGATGGATACAAAATATTATCAAGATGTCAGTTCTTCACAACTTGACCCATAGATTCAGTGTTATCCAATTCAAAATTAATGCAAGCTATTTTCTGGATATCAACAAAGTGACTCTAAAGTTTATATAGACAGGGAAAAAGGCAAGAAAAGCCAACACAATATTGGGAGAGAAGAACCAATTGAAGTATTTACATTATCTGATTTCAAAATTCCCATAAAGTTATCATAATCAAAACAATGTGGTACTGGTGAAAGAACAGAAAAATAG